AATAAAAAGAAGTTATACCGTGGTAAGAAACCTGTTACTAGTGATAAAAATTAAAATTAAAATTAAAATATATATATACATATATTTAATTTTTTTTGTTATGACCCTTTTTTCCAATTAAGTATACATGTAACTTGTTAATATAGATTTATAAATATTGATCAGAATTTCTGGAGGTGGAGGCCTGGCACATACAGGGTATCCTAGTTTAGGCTCCAGCCTCTACAAATTTTCCTGTCATGTTTTTTACTTTAATATCTCTTATGTTTACTTAAGTTGTTACAAATTTGTGGAGGAAATAAAGAATTTACTTACTTACTTACTTACTATTTGGGTGAAAAAGCTGTGCTCTCGTTGGATCCCACACAATATGACTGAGGCTCAAAAAACGGATCGCGTCACTTGGTGCAATGCCATGCTTATCAGATTCAACGAAGGGGCGTCAAATTTGCTGTGGGACATAGTAACAGGTGATGAAACATGGATTTATAATCACGATCCCAAAACAAAGCAGCAATCGAGCATATGAGTCTTTCGAGATGAGCCGAAACCAATCAAAATGGCCCGCGTGCAAAGTGCCTCTAAGCGGATGATTGCTTCTTTTTTTAATAAAACTGGACACGTGGCTACTGTTGCTTTGGAGAATCGTTACCGTGAATAGTGATTGGTACACGATCATTTGTTTGCCGGAAGTTATTGACAAACTCCGTAAAAATAACCGTAAACGCCGTATCATCTTGCACCACGATAATGCCAGTTCTCACACGGCCAGACAGACAAATTAATTTTTGAAGGTGAACAACGTTGACCTTAAGAGCTATCCCGCGTACAGTCCCGACCTGGCACCTTGCGACTTTTATTTATTTCCAAAAACTAAGAACCAGTTACAGACTACTTCTAAGTCCACTGCTTTTCTGGTATTCAATATTCTTAGTCAAACACAATCCTTGTACATTTATTTAACACACAACTTCTTTTTATTAGAACAATGATTTTGGACGGTGGAAAATTTATGGCGGCCATATTGAAAAATGGCGGAATCAAAAAAATCACAAACGCAATATTGTATTATTGGACCTTATACACCGGTCAGGTGCCAAATTTCAGCACGATTGGTGTTTTTTTCTGGCCGCCATCTTGAATTGGCCATTTCGAAAAAAATTCTTTGACAGCCGATTGTCTCCTGTCACCCTCACGGATATTATTTTGAACATAATTTATCTATAT